GCCGCTGCTGCTGCTGCTGCTCCCGGCTCTGCAGCTCGCTCTGCCGTCCCCGCAGCCCCCCGAGGCGCGCGCCAAGCTCTGCGGCCACCACCTGGTGCGAGCACTGGTGAGGGTGTGCGGGGGCCCACGCTGGTCCCCCGAGGCCACGCAGCCCGTGGACGCCCGTGACCGTGAGTGGGGTCGGGCGGGGCGGAGTGGACACACGCGGGTAACCGAGAGGGGCAGACCCGGCACGGTGTCGCGGCCCCCTCCCCCAAAACAGCAGACTGGAGTTCATGGATTTTTTTTTTTTAATTTAACTTTCCCCACTTTAGATTTTGGGGACCGGATCTTTTATATAGCCCAGGCTGGACTCAAACTCACAATGTAGCCGAGGATGACCTTGAACTCCTCACCTTAGGCTTGCTGTGCTTGGGTGGCCGGCATAGTCGTCACCACCCAGCTTATTGTTTTTTAAAGACAGATTCTCGCCATGCAGCATAAAGTGACCCCAGACTCACAGGAATCCTCCTGCCTTGGCACCCCAGGACTGGAATCACTGGCATGCGGCTCTCCATGGGGGGCTGGGGCGGGGCTCCACCTTCAGCTGCAGGGCACAGAGGCCCTTCCCACGCTAGGGGTGCTGCCCAGAGAGGCACAGGGGGAGTCCAGTCCTTAACGCAGTCCTAGGGACCCCCAGCTTTCCATGCCCAGAAACTGGGGAACACAGGAGGTGTACGGGGACACAGTGTGGGCGGCAGCTGGGAGTTATGTCGTGCTCGCAGGCACTATGTATGTGCTCCTCTGTCACTGGGCACATAATAGACGTGTGCTGAGTGTCTGGGAGGGGCTCAAGCTGACTCCTGCTCTGCCTGCAGGAGAGCTGCTGCGGTGGCTGGAGCAGCGGCAGCTCCTGCATGCACTTGCGGCTGACACGGACCCCGCTCCGGACCCCGACCTGCAGCTTCCTCCCCAGGCTCCTAAGCGCCGCCGCCGCCGCCGCAGCGGGGCCACCAATTCTGTGCACCGCTGCTGCCTCACTGGCTGCACCCGGCAAGACCTGCTGCGCCTCTGTCCCCACTGAAGGGGCCCCGGGCTCAGGCGGTGGGGCCTGGCCGTCCAGGACAGGATGCTGACACCGCCCGTGGGACCGCAGCACTCGCGTTCCCTGGAGAAGCCCCAGCCATTCACAGATCTCAGAAAAGGACGGTCGCATGCCCTGCCCCCGAGGACCTCCAACACGGCCTGCGTCCCCAACAGTCTAAATAAAAGAGCAACTTCATGCGTTTTGTCTGGGAAAAGCCACGCGTGTGGGGGCGGGGGGGGGCAGCGACTCTCCTCCGGTCACACACGGACCTCAGGCGACACCAGGATCCACGGGGGAAACTGAGGCTGGGGGTTTGCTGCTTGGGAAAGTCAAGCGGGTTTGAGCCGCTGCGTGGGGATCCTAAACCCCAAGCCCTGGTCTAGGGCTCAGGACAGACGTCATGTGCAGAGTTCTGTGTCCTGAGGTGACGCAGGACCCGGGCTGTGCCAACAACGTCACACACCGGGAGCAGCCAGGCTGTTCCTGGGCATCGGGCGGGCGCGGCGGCGCACTGAGGTCCCCGCAGGTGCGCCTCGGGTGGGGGCTGGGACAACAGGGAGCCACAGAGCCGCGCTTCTCTGCCAAGCGCCCCAGTGTGACGCCGGCGTCTGTGACCTGCCCCTTCCCCGCAGCCTCTCACTTGCAGCGTTTGCACAGGCTGTCCCATGGAGGACACACTACCCTCCCCCTGCATCCCTTCACCTCAGCTGACACCTCAGGGGCCTCAGGGGCCTTCCCAAGGCAGTGAGGGGCACAGTAGACCGAGGGGGGGTGGGGCTGAGGGGGGAGGAGGTCGCCTGACTCCCGGGCTCCAGCCCCAGCAAACACCAGGTGAGGTGCAGTGGCCTCCATCACTGGGAGGTGGAGGCCGGAGGATCAGGAGTTCATCACAGATGATCACAGTCATCCTTGGCTATAAGGGGAACTGGAGGCCAGCCTGGGCTACATGAGACCTTGTCTCCAGAGAAAAACAAACAAAAACCCACAGGGCAGGTAGGGGGCGTAGGGTCGAACCGCTGGGGAGACCGCACAGGCCTGGATGGGTCCACAGGCCGGGGAGCTATGGAGGGTGTGGGAGCCCGGCTGGGAGGAGACGCTTCATGGGCCGCGTCCACTGAGACCTTTGGGGGGGGGAGAAACTCGGGGTATGAATGGGGGGGAGCAAGGGGCCTTGGGACGCTCGATTTTGTAAGTTAATAAAATGTTAAAGGTAAACGAGAGGGCGGAGTAGAGCAGACGCCGTTAGAACGTGAATGGTGCTGAAAAAAAATTAAAAGGGGATTGGCAAGAGGACTCAGTTTGCCGCCAAGCCTGAGGATCTGAGTTCAAGCCCCAGGAGCTACACGGAGGAAGGGGGGACCTTCCTCCCCCCATGGTGTGGCATACCCAATGAAACGATAATTATTATTTTTAACGATTTATTTAACTTTATTTTATCTGCATTGGTGTGAGGGTGTCGGATCCCCTGGAGGTGGAGTCACAGACAGTTGTGAGCTGCCAAGTGGGTGCTGGGAATTGAACCCGGGTCCTCTGGAAGAGCAGCCAGTGTTCTTAACCGCTGAGCCATCTCTCCAGCCCGAAACAATAATTCTAAATCAATAAAATGAAAAGAGGCCGAGCCCAGGGTTCAGCCATCCACAGGCTTCATTTCCCGCCACCCCGGTCTGTGAGACACAGACCCCTCCTACCCCTACGCTGTTCCCTGAGTCCTTGAGGGACACCACTGTGACCAAGTCAAGCTCGGCCTCGCTCCCCTGCCCCACTCCCTAGGGGCCTGAGGGAGCCTGGCACGGGGCTCCTGGGCGCTTGTTAGCAGCCGTCCAAGTCCCGCTGGCGCTTGGTTGGATCCCGAGCGCCCGCGGTGAGCAGTACCAAGAGCTTTTGGGCGGCAGCTCAGTAGACCAGGCCGCGCTGGCCGCAGTCCAGCTGGGGCTGGCTCAGCGCGTCCCACATCAGCAGGGTCTCGAAGGGCAGGAAGCGGTGCACCAGGAGCAGCCCCCGGTAGAAGCAGGGGTCGAAGGAGGACAGGCGGGGGCTGGGGGCGTGCACCCCTGCCGTGCGCACCCCGTTGTGCGAGGCGGGCGCCAGACCCTGCTGCCGCAGACACATGCCCAGGAACACGTCGTCGATGGGGAAGACTGGGAGGACGCTCGCGGCGCGGCGCAGCGCGGCCACCGTGAAGCGCGACAGCAGGAAGCCGCCGCCGCCGCAGTAGGGCGGGTAGTGCTCGTCCTCCGTCACCAGCGTGGGCACGAAGTACTTACTCCCAGGCGAGCGGATGGGACCCACGTTCTGAATCAGGTGACCCACGAAGAGGTGGCGGTCCGGGTCGCGGCCCTGCAGGTAGGTGACCATGTTGTCCGTGTGCGCGAAGACATCGTCGTCCCCGTTGAGCACGAAGCTGACGTTGGGGCAGCGGGTTCGCTGCCACTCCAGGAAGAGGACCTGTGGGCGGAGCGGAGGACGCGCGGGCTGGCGGGGTCCCAGCGGCGCGCCCCCTGCCCGGCTCGCGCAGAACCCCGCCTCCCTCGCCCACCTGCTTAAGCGTGAGGTTGAAGAAGGAGTCCTGGAAGTCCCACTGCAGGATGTCGCCGTGCGCGCGCGCCTCCAGCTGCAGCAGCCGGTTGAACTTGCGCGCCTGGTGCGGGTCCCGGTCGCTGCCCACGAGGAAGAGGAGGCGCAGCGTCGCCCCCCGGACCTGCCGCTCGCGCGCCCACGTGCGGCGCAGCACCTGCCGGCGCCCGTAGTTGGCGGGCGACGACTTGATGGCGAGCAGCAGGAAGACGGGCTGCGCGCACTTGGCGGCCGGCGGCTCCCGCAGCAGCGCGAAGTCCCGGCAGTGCCGGTAGAGCAGGAAGTCGCGCACGTGCGCCGGCATCGCCGCGAAGTCCGGGTGCGCGGCCACCGACAGGTTGGCCTGGCACGGGGTGGGGGCCGCGCGCGGGGGCCCCGGGGGCCACGTGGGGACCTCCGGGGGCTCCGCGGGCCTCTCGGGGGCAGGGCAGCCAGGCGGCGACATGTGAGATAGGAGCAGCAGCGCGACGGCGGCCATGGCCAGGACGAGGCTCACATCCGGGCGCGGCCGGGGCAGCCGCATGGCGTCGGGGGCCCTAGGGCGAGGTCACGGGAGCTGTGCACCCCAACACCCAGCGCACGCGCTGGTGGACAGACACGTGCGCTCACGTCCCTCCCACCCCCCATTGACTCTCGCTGGACTTGAACCCAGACCTGGTTCTCACAGACCCTTGAACCCCCAGCTGTCTCCTTTGGCAAACTCCAATCCTCCCTCAAAACCCATCTTGGGTGATCCATTTTCCAGGCATCCTTTATTGGCCCTCCTGTCCCCTGGACTCCCGGTCCGGTCCCTTTGTGACTGCAACCTTAGCCTGTGTCTTGTCCGGCGGCTCTGGGTCCCGGCCCTGCCCAGCATGAAGTGGGTGAAAGGCCCAGGCAGAAAGCATTTGATGTTTATGGTAAACTCTTATAAATCCGCCAGAACCCCAGCCTGAATGATCTCGCTTTCAGGAAACTTTTATTCCCCATTAACATTGGGTCATGTAGCCCAGGCTGGCCACAAACTTGCTGTGTAGCTGAGGATGGCCTTGAGCTGCCCATCCTCCTGTTCTCAGGGTCTGGGATGCTGTAGACTATTACTTTAAGGTTTGTAACTTTTATGTTGCATTTGTTTAGCTCTGTGAAGCTGTGATACTGTGTCTGTGTAAAACACCTGATGGGGCCGGGCGGCGGTGGTGCACGCCTGCATGCCTTTAATCCCAGCACTCGGGAGGCAGAGCCAGGCGGATCTCTGTGAGTTCGAGGCCAGCCTTGTCTACAGAGCGAGTTCCAGGAAAGGCGCAAAGCTCACAGAGAAATCCTGTCTCGAAAAACAAAAACAAAAAACAAACAAACAAAAAAAACAAATAAAACACCTGATGGTCTAATAAAGAGCTGAACGGCCAACGGCGAGGCAGGAGAAAGGATAGGCGGGGCAGGCAGAGAGAATGGAGAGAAGGAGAAATCTGGGAGGAAAGGAAGAGAGAGGGAGAGAGGGGAGGAGGACACCAGCCACCCAGCTACACAGCCAGCCCCAGGGTAAGAAACAAAGAAAGGTTTACAGGGAAAGAGAAAGGTGAAAGCCCGGAGGCGAAGACGAGACACTTGAAAGTTAAGGGAAAGCTGGCTAGCAACAAGTCAAGGCCGAGCATTTATAACCGAGAACGAGCCTCCATGTGGGGTTCATTTGGAAGCTGGGTGGCGGGTCCCCCAAAGGAGCCCAGAGAGTAAAAACCATCAACAGCACTGGGGTGATGGTGTCACCAGGCCTGGCTCTCCTTCCAGACCTTGCTTGGCTCAGCCTCACCCTCCCTGCAGCCCCCTCCCCTGGTGACTGAGGATTCTGTGCATGTTCTCTGCTGGCTATGTTGATTTCTAGTACAACACAGTGTTGCTGCAGCATGCAAGTGCTAGGTCAGACTCAGGGAAGGACTTCCTCCTTCACTGAACACTTCCTGGCACTCAGAAGCACGCCTTCACCCCTGGAGTCCGGTGCTGGCCCCACACACCCTGGCTGTGTGCCCCACGCCCTGACCTTGGTGTCTGCAGGTTTACAGGGGACACCCCAGTCACCCCATGTCACAGCACACAAAGCATTTCCAGCAACAAGCATTTGTTGAAAGACTGTTGAACCTTGACACTTACCTCGGTCTGTCTTGGGGTATCTGCGCTGAGCTAGGCTGTCCTGGGTCTCCCCGATGGCTCCTGGAACAACGTGAGGTGGTCAACAAGTGTCCTTGAGACTGCAGGCCCCAGGCAGGCCCACCTGCTAGTGCCGGGTCGTGGGCCTCCTGGCTCTGCCTCGTGGGTTCTGTTGTGTGACCTTGACACAGTGGTTTGACCTCTCTCCAAGTAAAACAGGATGGACCCCGGGAAACGTGCGGGGCGCCCGGCCTCCAGACCTTCCCGTGATCCATTTGTAGGAACCCTTGGCGTAGGAGAGGTTTTTTAGCTTGTGGCGGCCCCTGGGCTACACCTGGCCCTGCTCCAGACAGCGGCACCGAGCCCGAGGCCACCTCTGGTCATCCTAAGTGAGTCCTGTCTCAGAGTCCCGAGGATTCAGGCCTATGCAAAACCTGGTTCGGGGAACCCGGAAACCCGAGGTGCCTGAGAAATCGGGGGATTTGCACTTGGCCTTGTATTTTGGGAGCTTCTTTCGGGTTGTTTGGAACATAGGGAAATCAACTGGCTGAGGTGTAAACACTGAGAAAAATAAAATCGCCCTGGGTGAGGGGGGCTGCTTCAGTCCTGGAGACTGGATCCCTGCAGCGCGAAGGCTGGACTCTGAGTCTTCATTCACCAGGTCCGGTCCCGCAGGAGCCCACACACCCAGCTGTGACATCAGCTGCACGGTCCGTCAGCTCCTCCTGATGGACAGGCCCTGCACAGCAGCCAAACCCTGCCCATGGCTCCATTAGTTCCTTCATTCATTCATCTGTGGATACACATGGCGCTCTCACGCTTTTCCTGAAGTTTGAGCAGCTTCAGTCAGAGTCAGGGGCGAGACCTCTCCTGCCTAGGCTAGACCTCTGTTAATGTGGCCGAGATCGTCTCCTGCCTAGGCTAGACCTCTGTTAATGTGGCCGAGTCTCCAGATTTTGCCAAAGCCACCTGAACTGTTAAAACCTCAAACATGCCAGGCGAGCATGGCGGCCACAACTTTAATCCCAGCACTAGGGAGGCAGAGCCAGGAGGATCTTTGTGAGTTTGAATCCAGCCTGATCTACAGAGTGAGTTCCAGGACAGCCTGGGCTACAAACTGAGCCCTTGCCTCAAAAGGAAGGAAGGAAAGGAAGGAAGGAAGGAAGGAAGGAAGGAAGGAAGGAAGGAAGGAAGGAAGGAAGGAAGGAAGGAAGAATTTCCTTCATCCTGTCAACAACTCTGCGTGTGGGTGCCCGGAAGCCTGAGGCACCTTGACCCTGGACAAGACCCTGAGAGCCAGGCTCCTAGAGAGAGAAGGAGGCAACCAAGGAAATGGGCCTGGGACACTGAGGCTGAGGCTTTGAAGGGTGCACAGGAGTTAGCAAAGGCCCTTCAGGTGTCAGGGCGAACCACAGAGGGAAAGGACTGGTTCCCTAAGAGGCCCTGGCAGCTGAGCTAACTGCAGCGGAGAAGTGGGGTGAGCCTGATGCCTGAGCGTGGGGTGTAGCCCTCTCAGAGGCTGAAGGCTAGCTTTGAACTCACAGAGACCCAGCCTCCTGGCCTGAGGGCCGGGGCAGGGCTCGGCGGGCAAAGGGGGTGTCCCCAGGTCTGAGGACCTGAAAAGGATGCCGACCCTCGGTGGAGGACAGGGAAGCGGCTGCGCAGGGCTTGAAGGACCCTGGGAACACAAACCCCGGAGGGCACCCGGGCACGTGTGTGGAGCCCTGCGCATGCGTGCTGCCGCCCACCACCAGCAAGGGGCTGAGGTGGGGCTCGGTGTCAGGAGCCCAGGGTCACAGAAGGTGGCGGGGAGGGCCGAGGAAGGGGGCGACTGTGGGGACCCCGGGCTCCGAGGGGCCCTCCACCCCAGGAGCCTGGAGCAGCGCTGTGTGCTGTTCCCAACAGAAACGGGGGAGGGGGCGGACACAGACACGGACGGGACAGAGGACCAAGCTTTCCCTGCGGCGGCTGCCACACCCACCCGGAAACAGAAGCAGCACCAAGTGTCAGCGGAAGAAGAGGGGCCAGGGAGAACCGGAGGGAAAAGCCGAGCAGTCTGGGGAGAATGACAGCCCAGGGTCCGCAGTGAGGGCTGGGGGCGTGGTCAGGGGTGGAGCCCCGCCTAGGATCCCCAGTGAGGGGCTGGGGGCGTGGTCAGGGTGGAGCCCCTGCCTAGAATCCCCAGTGAGGGGCTGGGGGCGTGGTCAGGGTGGAGCCCCGCCTAGAATCCCCAGTGAGGGGCTGGGGGC